CGCCCGCCCGCCACGCGCAGCAGCCGCCGCCGCCCCCGCCGCCACACCACCGACAGACTGTAAGCGTCACGATATCACCAACGATACGGACTCACGATGCGATTTCCACCCGCGCCCGCCGCGGTGGCGGAATGTAAATTTTATTTTCAAAACTCACGAGACCCCTGTTTTCTGTGTCCCACAGCCGCCGCGTTTGCGATTATCGCCCGCAAACGCGGACGTAAAATGCGTCGTGAAATGTGCTTTACTCTCTTGTCTGCCGATATATGAGACAATAGAAAACGCATTGTGTTTCGCGTAGATATACGCTCCGACATACCGGAGGTTAATTTTTTTTACCTACAATATGTATAGGTGAATATGTTCTACAAAATGTGCCCGCATTCCGCGGCGGGCACCGGACAAAATCGATTCGTGTGTCCTTAGCCTTACAGTCGGTTTCAATCAGGGATGTTAAGGAGCTCCGTGCCGTAACCGAAACCATCAGATATCCGATATAAAAAATATCCCTAACCGTAACCGAATTCGAAATAAAAGTTTCGTATACTATCGGATATCGTGACGTATAAATGAAAAAGTAAAATACAAATAGCTAATATAATGAGCTATATGTATTTTACTTTTGAAATTCCTTAAATTTATAATATTATAATCCATAATATCCCTGGTTTCAAATCAATATACGAAAATACAGTTAGAGTATAGACATAAAGAATTAAAGATGCATGTAAAATGTGTCTAAATTATATATATCTAGTATGCACATACAGGATAAGCTAAATAATGTAAGGACTGTAATGTTTAGCCATAAAATGTTTTTACTCGGCTCATATCTCAAGTTATTCATAACTTCTCAGTGCTGTGTCAGACATCACGTTACAAACCCGCTTGCTTTTATATCGCTAGCAATACAAACTAATAATATTTTTAATTAAACTGTCAAACACCAAGCGGTCACCGGTGACCGCAACCTATTGTTCTATAATTGTGTCTATAAAACCGGTACTCGACGAGTTAATATGACACAAATCAGTAAATGTTACGTAAAATCTTAATTATAGGAAAAAGTTAGCAATTTTTAATCCACAAGGATTAAAATTTTTTTCAAAATGCTTAAATGGGGGAATTAAATTACTTTTTTCTAACTATGGATCAGGAATGTTTAATCTATGGATAAAATTGTAACATTTACTAGCCACTCTGTGAACTTTCTAAAACGCCAAAACCAACTAATTAATTCCTGTATAACTTACAGAGTATGAACGGCGACGAGGGTGTAGCCCCACTACCACCAGTTCGTGGCTCGTCGATGCGGTCTCTGGACCTGGAGGCTCGCTTTGCAGACTTGTTCCAGCACCCATCGCGCTTCCCAGAGCCTGACCCCTTCATGCGCATCGCTAAAGGCTACAGCAGCGCCACCGTCGCCGGTAAGTACGCGTGAAACGGTGCCAGGGAACTTACGGTTATACCAAGAGGGCGCCACTGAAGCTTACAAGTCGATACGAGAAAGTTCTGTACTTTTGTCGGTCGACTCGTCAAGAACTTTTCGGCCTATCGGTGATAAAGTTGATGGGTTTTGATCAAAGATATTGTTAGTACGTTATTATGATCAAACAAATGTGTTGTCAGTTAGTTTTCGTTTAGTAGAGTTGGTATATGTTGGTGTCTCGAGTGTTTAACAGTTTCTCAAGATTTGATCAAATTAGTTCACTGGTCCAGACCAAAACTACGATAATGCGATCAAATCACATAGTGGCATATTATAAATACGAATAAATGTCATTGTATCTATAGGAATGATTTAATTCCGACAAATCAAGTATTTTAATTATTGTACTAAAGTACGATAGACTATGTCGACATGACAATACGTGCAATTATTACAAATGAGTATAATTGCTGACTAGAGATGCGCATTTCAACATCGATATATCCTATCGAGTATCGATACTGCTTAAAACAAAGATTACAAATAGTATCGATATGTTTTTAGTAGATATTTTATGGAGCAACACGCACAAGTATGCTCTGCTTAGTCATATTATATTAACGTAGTTTAACTAGATTATTTTGGCTTATGTAGTAAGTCCCATAGGTACAAGTCAAAATTGACACGCATAATATCTAAGTAAAAAGTTATTTTAGTCATGACTATTATAAAAAAACTAAATTAATTATTGTCTTGAAGATACAATTGTTATAATATTATTATGATAAAGTATTATTTTTGTTATTCAAATGTTTATCTTACGTGCATGAACGCATGACGTATGGTTAAGTGTCTTATTGGAGACTGAAAATGAAATAAAGGTTAGCGCGCACTTGTTGATTTATTAGATCACAAATCAATTTGAACTGGAACTATAATATTCTATAATATAATATTCAAATCCTCTAAAGTAAAGTAAATTACAAGATTATTGTCATTAGTGAACTATGCACTTGAAGAATAAAGAATTTTCTCAAAGAACATTCGCTAGCCAAGAGGATCATTTCATCTACAAATTTTTAATACATTTAAAATGTATTGGCTCTTCCAAATATTTTGATTCTGTCGGACTAACCATCACGAATGCGCGCTAAACACATATTTATTTGTACTGAACGATACTTTTCATTGCTAGATACTGCACATAGTAGCATAGTTAGTTAAACTCAATGCTTACAGATTATTATATCTCCGAATTGTTCGTTTTATAGTACATTTTATATTTTCGTAAAAGTACACGTAATTTTTCCAAAGTTTGCATTTAATTTGTCATTCCGGGAATGCATTGGTCTCATTGGTTGGTTGTCGATATAATGCAGTTTAAAATAACGGTCGCGGACATTTTTCATTATTCTTTTTTTGTATCATGGCGTCCCATGGTTATATGGTTACTAACAAATTTTATGGCGTTGGTTTATCATAATGCCGGTTAGACTTGCTATTAATGTTATTATTATTTTTCTTCTTTAACTTAGTTTAAAAGTTAAATGAAAGTTTTTTTGTAACTACTCTATGGATTACTTAGACATTCTGTAAATTTTATAATACACTTTATCCTTTTAAAACGTACTTTACAGTATTAACACCACGAAAGTATTATTTTATACTCAGCCCATCTTGAAATGCAAGTCTCGTCAGTATTTTGGTTGCCCACAGTCCACATACCAATGCAAATCATTCGTAATCAATCACTTATCAATGAAATCATTCGATTAAATACCAAATTAAAGTTTCAATCTAATTATAAGCCTATTTTATACACGGAGTGTTTTGTTCATTATTTAGTTTAATTATTAGGTTAGGACTTCTACCAATGTATCGCGTTGAGTCATTAAGAATATTTATATTTAATAATTACATATTTTTATTATTATTATTATAACTTAGTTTATGTATTAATGGTTATGTTTCGTCGCTTGCACGATTTAGCGAAGAAGTAAGAACTATGTTGTGATTCTTTTTGTTTTAATATAGTGAGGTGCCATTACTGCAAATTGTTTATGCTATTATTGTACCTGTATCGCTTCATGCCCATTTTTTTTCACTCAATAGTTGCTCAGTAAATTGCTTAACTGCTGACTGGTAATGTCGTAAATGCTTTTTGAAGCATTATTAGTATAAGCGCCTCATGATTCACATAGAAAGTGCAGTCAATTATTTTATTTCAAAGATTTTTATTTTTGCTTTTTGTTCCAAAGTGCCTTTTTGAATATGCAGTTAAGAAATTTAGTGATGGGCAATATACGCTTTATGTATTGAAACGCAACCGGTATTGTGATAGTGATGTGTACGACGCTCATAGTATTTATATTATTATTTTTTGGATAATAAAAGAGTAATAATTACCAATCAGTGGTCCTGTATTTTTATTGTCCTAACATTCAATGTCGTATGCTTATTTGTGAATGTCTTTATGTTAATGTAGTTCAACTTTTTAATTGGAATTAGGTAGTAACTAGTATAATATGATTTGTTCTTTGTTATATCAGTTTTTAATTACTCAAAGAGTAGTTAGTCGATTTTTGTTCCTTACTTTCTTTCAAGATTCTAAATAGGTTTTGTTTAAAATTATTCAATTTTGCACAATGATAATTTGTTCTATCTTACATATATGTAGTCAATAGCAATATAGACAGTATTTCCTTTGCAATAAAGTAGAAATTTGTTAAATGTTACAAATATTTATTCCGTAGTAAAGGTATAACAATGATAATGTCAGTGTTGTAGTTTGTAACCGCAGTACTCACAGTCATATAATGGTGACTTATCCCAGTCCTTAGCAACTGTTTTCAGAACAAAATCGGAACTAAGGAATTGTATAAGTAATCATCAAATGTCTCTCAAGGGCTTAGTACAAGTTCGTTTTACGTTTCGAAATCGGAATGTTACCGCGTTCCGTGCTCTGATACGTTGGTCCATCAGAGCAGGCCAATCAGAGCGCCGATTACGGTTTTTTTTGATTTGATCACGCAAAATAAACTTGAACTCAGCCCTCTGAGTACAGCAGTATCTAATAATAAACCAGTGTAGTGTATTGTGGTGTACATCTATGTGACGCATGTCGGGTAAGTTCTTAATTATTATATCAAGCATTTTACCGCCATACATGTGAACATTGTTAACACTGCATGGAGCATAGCATGACACATTTCACTAATATTCGTCGCATGATATACAAGCTTTTAGTTAGGTAGTACATGTAGATGATTCAAACATTTTGTAGATTTCAGATTTTTAGTGTGTTAAATTAGTTCTTAGCTAATTATGACCTATCTTCCCTTAAAAATGGCGTAACGCTAGTCAAAGGCAAATATTATGTCAAATTATGGGATTGAAATAAGTTTTGACTGTTAATCCCATCCATTGACTTTTATTCACTTCTTTTCGAACAGCGTTTATGCCATTTGTCTAGGGGTTAGATTCTAAACAGAGGTTAATGAAGAAGGCATTTCAATGGGTTCATTGTCTTGGCCTTAATTAATATGGGATAATGGTTTGCATGAAATTAGGACGGGGAACTAACACATTGACATCGATATATTTGTACTTCTATAGAAGTTCATGTGTCTAGAACATAATTATTTTGAAGTTAAGCGACACGATTGTGACTAAGTACCAAATGAATAATGCTGCGAAAACGAAAACTTAATAACATGTATAATACACCTGAATTTAGCAACAGCTGTTCTCTCGAAAAATGGAGCGTAAACAGATGTTTTATGTTGACTGATAATGAGTAAATTAATAATTTCTTTTTTCTTACATATTCCTGACTGTTTACGCTTCTAAAACCGTCTGTGAACGAAGTGGTTTTATCGAGAGAGTAGTATTTAGGATGTGTTAGCGTAGATACTAATGTGTGTTGTGTGGTGACAGTGAGCAAGGCGCAGGCGCCGCCGCCGCCGCTGTCCGTGCCGCTGGAGGGCTGGACGCGCACCTCCAGCGCCTGCTAGCGGCCCCGGGGGGCGCCCGGCCCCCCGCACGCTGCGTCCTCCGCGCCCGCACCGCACGACCTCAAGCACACTGCGCCCCAGCCCGCCCCAGCGACGCAAGCTGCCCCAGTGGCCCAGACCGGCCCAGTACCGCAGCCCGCGCC